AATCCAGGTGCAGAACTTGGCCTTGTTGAACTTAATGCCCAGCAACCCTGCCCTGCAAGCCCAGAGCTGCAGTGGGTTCAGCTCAGGGACTCGGGCAGGGATGTCAATGAAGCACAGGCTGGTAAATCTCACTGATAGCCCAGTAATTTTGCCCACCAGCACCTACTTCACCTCCATCTAAGGTGAGACCTGGTGACACAGAGCTCTAGTCACAGCTCACAAGCAGGTGCAAATTTTCATGGCCCTTTGACTTCTGGAGAAAGCCCCAGGAGCTCCCAGTGCTGCCCCCCAGTGCTGTCACCTTCACCTGGCAAGAAGCAGCAATGACCCAGTGACTGCACATCTGCTGCTGCACCCTTTGCTAACTGCACTTTTACAAACTTCCCTTTGCAAACAGATGTGAAAGGGAAGTGCATTTAGTTTAATTAGCAGAAGCCACTTGTCAGCCACTTCACCAGACTCTCCCTTTTCCCTGGCAGCAGCAGATGCCTGAGCCCAACTGGTTTCCAGCAGGCATGTGTGGTAGCAGACCCAGGGCCCCTCTCTGCCCAAGATTTACTGCCCTGCTGGCATGGAGCACTTCTCTCATTAAGGCTCTCACATTGTTGTTTGGCTTCTTCTGAAGTGCAAATCCACGAAGCAATGCTTTGGAGGAAGCCAATTAAGGACAGAAGGAACATTTCCCACTGGCTGAGACCAGACCCAGGACTAAACAGGATCAGGGCTGCATGGAAATTGGGAGCCTGTTTCAGAGAGGGTGTCAGAGGTTTGTGTGCAGGAAGCTCAAGAACAAGTCAATCCTCCTGCAGGTTGGTTGTGTCTCTGGGAAAAGCTTCTTAATTCCCTTCTATTTTGTTTCCTCCTCTGTGAAGGCAGAGCAGGGGTTTTTTTTTGACTAAACCTTTGTGTTCCTAACCCAACCTCTTGCTTTCAGGACTTCTGTAATTGTCTGTGTACAGAACAGTGCATGGCTGAAACCTTGGCTGAGTGAGACACAGAGATGTAGCCAGGGCCAGTCTACCTCTGTACATCCACCTGTACATCTACACCTGTACATCCATCCCCTCCTGAGCAGGGCAGGGCACGGGTAGCTCTGACTCTTTGGCCTCTCCCACCCCCTGGTTTGACTCTGTTCTCCTCCAGGATCAGCTCACCCAAACGTGGGGATCTGTTGTGGGTGCCAAGGAGAGCAGCACGTGGGTTGTTCCAGCCTCTCCTCACGTCCTCTGGAAGGAGATGTCTCGATGGGAGGTGCTTCCTGGTGGCAGCAGGTCATGAATTGAGCTGAAGGACCAAGACCCCTCAAATGAGAGGTCCCACCTGGGTTTGATTCCAGGAAGAAGTCCAGGGCAAAGCTCTGCAAAGCACATCAAAGACATGGCCATAACTCCATGCAAAAAAACAACCCACCAGGGCTGTGTTCCTTAGAGCAAACTGACTTCCTCCAAGGCTGATCTTTCAGCAGTGCTGGGGGTGCCTGAAGGGGCTGGTGTGCAGAGCACTGAAAGGGGCCACTCAGGAGCACCCTGTGAGCCAAACATGCAGTGGCATTCAGGACTATTTGAAGCCAATGGCCCAGCCTGGGCCACACTTCTGGTTTGTTTTTACACGTTGGAGAGCTAAGTTTGGGTGTGTTGTGCTCCAACACACAAGCAAGCCTCTGTCTGCCTCAAACAGGAGCAGGGGGATTGCAAAGGGAATGTACACTCTTCAAGCAAAGTCAAGTACAGATTATGAACCAGCTTTTCATAGTAGCAGGAAATGCTTGATCCTCCTGCACCTTCATTCAGCTGGGCCCACAAAATGGCTTTGAGGGGAGCCAACCCCTAAAGAAAATAAGTTTCATGTGGAGCAGGGAAAGCAAAGCCTGTATTTGCAACTGATTTGTAAATGAAAGCTGCTTGGCCAGATCCATTTTTAAAACCCAGTCTTATTTTTAACCCTATTTTCCCAAAGATGCTCCAGATGTTATTGTGGTTTGGCTGCCCCAGGGATGCTGATAGATGCAGGTCTGATGCTTGTCCTGCCTGCAGCCCTTGTCTGTGGCTTTGTGCTCTCCCTGCATGTGAAGAGATTCCAATTCCATGTTGATCTTTGCAGCTGGATTGCTTTTTTTCCTAGTAAAGCATAAAAGCTCTGCTGAAAAATGTGCCAAAACAGCCTCTTCCTTAGCCTGAAAAGCACAAACCATAATGGTGACAACCAACAGTGATTCCAGAATTACACCAGTTGTGATTAGTCACAAGAGATTTGGTTCATAAATGACCTGGTTTGGTTAAAAAATGACCCTCAACTGGCAGGATTTAGTCTAAATCTAGTCTGAGGTCCACAAAAACAGAACAACCATCAAGCATTTCTCTCCCATTCTTTCCTCTCTCCACCTGCTGGTTTTATACAGAGTAGGAAGCAGGAGATCTGAAATATGGGCTAAAAGTCTATATTCATAATACTGCTGGGAATTAAAAATAAGTAAATAAAATGTATGTGTTCATAGGAGGGAGTAAGAAGTTGTGTTGTCTAAAGAGCTCGTTTTGCCAGTGATAAATGTCTTATCTAGGTGGGAAGTTTCTTCTTGAATCCTCACAGACTGTTAAATGAATGGTTCTGTGGGTGTCTGGCCCAGGTTGCCCAGGGAAGCTGTGGCTGCCCCATCCCTGGCAGTGTTGAAGGGCAGGTTGGATGGGGCTTGGAGCAGCCTGGGCTGGTGGGAGGTGTCCCTGCCCATGCAGGGGGTGGGACTGGATGAACTTTAAGGTCCCAAACTAGTCTGTGATTCCATGATTCTATGATCTCTGGATCCCTGAGGGTGGAGGCCACAGAATCACAGAGTCCTAGGAGTTGGAAGGGCTCTCTGGAGAAGTCGAGTCCAACCTCCCTGCCAGGCAGAACCACCACAGAATCTAAGGCAGGTCACTCAGAAATTGAAGTCTCCAGAGAAGGAGACTCGACAACCTTTCGGGGCTCTGTCACCCTCACAGGAAAGAAGTTTTTCCACATGTTGAGCTGGAACTTCCTGGGCTCCAGTTTGGATCCATTGCCCCTCGTCCTGTCACAGGACACAAGTGACAAGAGGTTGTTCCTGCCTTCTTGATGCCTTCATATAATGATAGGCATTAATTAGATCATCCCTCAATCTTCTCCTCTCTGCACTGAACAGCCCCAGGTCTCTCAGCCAAGAGCATTTCTCTTGAACTGGTGGATAGTGAAGAACACAAGCTCCCCCCAGCAATCTGAGCTCTGCCCCAGCTCTGCTCCCCAGGGGTACCCCAAGGCTGCCTTCAGGCTCCTGCCAGCCACAGGCAGCAGCTCTGCTGCTGTCATCAGGGTTTGGAGAAGGAGGAATCCACCTTCTTCCCCAGCTTGTGATGAGATTGGCTGGAGTGCAATCACCAAACAGGGTGGAAAAATAAGGTCCTTTTCCTTTTCTTCTTCCCTTCAGCTGCACTCAGCTCTGATTTCCCACAAATGCAAGACTGAAAAACACAGAGACAGAAAAAAAAAACACCACCAAAGTGACTTCAAAACCTGGGACTGAAGTAATAAACTGTCAGATTTGGTGAGATTCCAAAGAAAACCATGGGAATATGCAACAGGACCCAATTGCACTGACCCTGCCCTGCCCTGAAATGTCTTTGTGCTGCAGAGATCCTGGGCTCTGGAGGGGAATCTTGGCCATAAAGGCCTGGTCAACCTTTTTTGGACCATGTAATTCCAGTTATAAACTGACCCTGTGTCAGATGCAGTGTCTCCAGGGGCATCCAGCTACCCACATTTCCTACCATCGCTGCCCAAAACTCGTGACTTTCCCTAAAAAAACCCCTCACTGTGGAACTTCCATGGCATTTGGGAACATCTCAGCCAGCCTGAAGCTCTCCAGCACACCTGCAGCTGGATGTGGAGCTCTCTGTGTACGTTTGGAGGGTTCCAGAGCAGCTATTTCCTGGCCCTGAGGTGGAATTTAAATTCAAAAGAACAATCAGGAAAATCCTCTGCCCAAACCCTGCAGACCCCTGACAATATGTTGGCTAAGGAACCCTCCTGGAAGCCCAGAACAAAAAACCTAGTGGGTTCAGGTGGGATGCAGAAACCAGGCATGCACCTAAGTGCCCTGAGAGCATGTTTGAGTGTGCCCAGCTCTGTCACTGCAGTGACCTGCTGCCACGCTGCTGGGGCACACCAGACCTTTCCCAGGAAACCACAAGCTCAGGTCAGTCTACTCCACAGAAGGTCTAAAGCATGACATTTCTGTCCCATATGGAAGAGGGAAAGAAGTTGTTGATGTTGTTGTTGTTATTATTATTTATTTATTATTATTATTTAATGAGAATGGCAATGACTACAGAGTTGAAGAGCACAGCTCAGTAAGTTCCAGCAGGGTTAGACAGCCTGATGTGCGATGCACAGTGACTAAGTCACCAGGCTCTGACCTCTCACTTGCTTTTCTTTCCCAGGAGCTGACTAACATAAATCCCATCAGCTGTCCCAGGAGCAAGGAGCAAATCTGAAAATGTCTCAGCCAACATCCCTGACTCTTGGAGTCCCACCACCCTTCTGGACCCAAAGGCCAGGGAGCATCACTTCCAAGGAATGGTGACTGTGCTGGCAAGCAGGGAGCTGCTTCAAACTCAGGAACTGCAAAAACAACAGGTCGAGTTGAAGGTGAAATTCTTGGCCCCCTGCTTCTGTTTCTGATGATTTTTATAGGGAAAAGCTTCACTCTGCTTCAGATCCCTCCTTTCCCATGTCCCTCTCTGGCCACCACCTGCCCAAAGCAGTAGTTGTGCTTTTCCTTTGCCACCTGGGATGTGCAAGCAGTTAAAAGATCCCTTTAGCAAAGCAACAGGATTTTACTTTCTTTATGACTGTGACATCAAAGACCTCATGTGACTCTGTAGATGACTTTACCCAGTTCTAGAGCAGGAAGGAAGTGGAGCTGAGCTGCTGGCTCTGCCCTGGGGAGGTGGCTGCAAATTCAACCTCAGCAGCTGAGGGAGCAGAAAATGACCACCCAACCGACCACCCAGCCCCCCAGATGTTGCTGTTTCAGCATCAAGACAGCAACGGTCTCTCTAGGGATCTTCCACATGGTAAGTCACAGGACTGAAGAGGGGGGACAGGGAGAGGGAGACCAGGAAAGAGAGGGGGGAAGTCTCAGCTTTGCAGAAGGTGCAACCGTTGCGGGTCACAAGGTTTCCTGATGACTTCTGTGTGTTGCCAAAAGAGCAAACAACCCCAATTATTTAAGTGAGGTGGACAAAAGAGGAGAAGGTGGCAAGCAAAGGGAGGAGGCAGGAATAAATTTCTTGTACTGGGAGGGTTTTTTAAACTGTTTTGGATTTATTGTTTTTTTTTCCCCTGGCTCTGCCAGTTGGAGCTCATGGAAACTCCCTCTGCTTCTTGTGTTCCCCTTGCAGAAGCACTTGCCCATGTCTAGCTTGACCAGGGCACAGTGTGGCTGCCTGGACCAGTTGGTTAGGAACTGGGCAGCACATTGGCACTGGAAACTGTGGGAGGGCTGAAATGATGGGTGAAGGCAGAGAGGGGCAAGCAAAGGGTGGGTGAGCAAAGCTGCCTCATTTCTCTCTCTACAACCAGTTGGACACAAGATGCCCCATGTTGGTTTCTGGGGGGACCCTTGGCTGTCTTTAGCTGCCAGGCAGCTGGGGGTGCCCAGGGGTGGGTGTAGATGGCAGGCAGCAGAGGCAGCAGGGCCTGCAGGGACATTTCTTTCCCTCCTGGTGGCTCAGAGCTGCTTCCTGGTGGCTTTAAGTCATATTGAGGATGTGGTTTCTCGCACGGCTGAGGCACTTAAAATAATCCCATCTGTTGAGCTTGGTGTGCATAGTCAGGGGCTGGGAACCTGCAGGGTGATAACAGGTAATGGGGGCTCTTAACCTGCTCCTTGCAGAGCAGAAGTGGAGAGAGGGGAGCCAAAAAGAATCTTGTCACCAAAAGGCACTGGGACATCTGCCCAGGGCAGTGGTGGAGTCACCATCCCTGGAGGGACTGAAGAGTCATACAGACATAGTACTTAGGGATATGGTTTACTTAAGGACTTGTCACTGTTAGGTTAATGGTGAGACTTGATGATCTTGAAGGTCTTTTCCAACCAAGGTAATCCTGTCATTCTGTGCAAGACTGTGCATGGCTGGGGCAGCCATGGGAAGGACCTGCTGTGGTCCCTCTGCAGCATCAAGTCTGCTCTCCTGGGGCATCAGGAGCATCCTGAGCAGGTCCTCACTGCACCATTGCCCCCCACCTCCCTCACAAAAAGCCAAGAGAATGGTCAGACCAGCTGGTTTCATGGCTTTGGCTCCCACCATGCCCTGCCTGCATCCCTTGGTGGAGGATGAAAGGCAAAGGAACCTGGAGAGCAGCTTATTTGCTTGCCTGGTTAGCAAGACAGAAGGGAAGCACTTGGTGAATGGTGGGATTTTATAAACACACCAAGAGTCAGCAGCACTGGGGGCTGTGGGAGGAGTGACTGAGGAGGGTGGCAGCATCTCAGCACCTCCTGGACTGGGGCAGGAGATGGTTCCATGGCAGCCCAGAGCAGGAGAGCAAGAAAATTTGGATCTAACACCACATCTTCATGCAATGTAGTTGCCAACATCTTTCCCCTGGCACTACTTGAAAGGCAGGTGCTGTGATGGCACTTCCATGCCATTTTTAAATCATTTGGGGATCTCAGAAACATTATGAGATTAGCTGAAAAAAAATCATGCCATTTTATAACCTCTTTTGCCTTCTGCTTTTTGAGCATCTAGATGACACCTGGGCAGGCTACTTGTCTTTTTTTTTGTCATGAGCTCCAAGCTTATCATCTCACTGCTTTAAAGAAAAAGAAATTGCTGCGTTTCTTGTGCCTTCTTATGACCCCAGGACAGGAAAATTGAAACCTGTGAAAGCTGAGAGGCTGCAGCAGAGCAAAAGCAATTTCTGACAAGCAATTAAAGACATAGCCCTCACAGAGGGGTGGGCATGAGCTGTTGGGAAATGGGAGCCCTGTAGGAAGCAAAGCCAAGATTTGAAGAGGAGCTGGTGAAATTAAAGGTCTGGGCAAAGGTGGGAAGCACAAGGCAGGGAACTTGAGCACATTTTCTCCAGGGGGTTCCAGCCACAGACTGTGGCATCAGCTCTGTTAGCAGAGGTGAAACAGGCCAGCAGAAAATGAGGTGGTTTTTTTTTCCTAGCTGGGAGGGTCAATCATAAAAAAAGCCTCCTTTGTCTATCTCAAAAGTCAGTAAATGCTTTGAACTGAGGCACATTTTTCTCACGAGTGTTTCACCATGAGGCCAGCAGCAAGAATTAGTGATTCTTGATTTGCACCAGTGGGTGAGGGAGGAGAATGAGGCACCACCTCCCAGTGCTGGAGGCCAACAGGGGAAACTTCATTACCAGGGACAGCAGAGGAAAGATGGGTTGTTTCAAAAATGCCTTGTGGGTCTGTCAAAGACACCAAGTGGGTTTTGAAGAGCAAAAGGACTCAGCCTTCATGGTGCTCTTGAGGAAGAGTTTACAAAAGAGGTTCAAGGGTCCATTGAGGGTGGGCAAGAGAAGCTGCTTTTCTTTGCAAAATGGCAAAGGTAGAAGTGCCAAGACAGATGTGCAGAGTCAGCCCCAAAGCCCAGCAGCCTCCCAGCCTGGCTCCAGCAGCTGCTGTTGCTTTGGGAAGAAGGAATTAGAAGTAAGGCAGGTACCAAGGGATCCCTGCCCTGTGCACCAACTGCATCAGAGACTTCTGGAGCTTGAGGTTACGTGAAACTTTGAGCAACCTGGGCTGGTGGGAGGTGTCCCTGCCCAGGCAAGAGGGGTGAATCTAGATGATCTCTAAGGTCCCTTCCAACCCAAACCATTCTATGATTCTAGGAAACATGTCATGTTTACTAGTTGTTGTGCTTAGTAAAGTCCAGCTCAGTTCTACTCACTACTCTTTTTCAATCACTTCTTTTCCACCTGCAAATCCTGGTGTAGCAGGTGTCTCTGTGAGCAGAGGCTGTTTCATGCACAGTCTTTTTGTATTGCTGTTATTCCTCTCCTGTCTGTTTGCAGTGGTTCAAATCAGAAGTTGTGTGATACATTCCATTGTGGTTTATCATGGAATCATGGAATGGTTTGGGTTGGAAGGGACCTTCAAGATCATCCAGTCCCACCCCCTGCATGGGCAGGGACACCTCCCACCAGCCCAGGTTGCTCCAAGCCCCATCCAACCTGCCCTTCAACACTGCCAGGGATGGACAAGAATTCATGAAGAAAAAGCTTTAATGAACATATTTAGACACAAGAGTCAACACATCAAAACTTGTGAAGGACAACACAGGGCTCTAGCTTTAGGACATTCCCATTTGCTTTCTTACACACACTGAATAATTCAACCAATTATTAACAACACCTGAACACACAGGACAAAACAGTTAAAACTTCTCCCACTAAAGCTGAGATGCTAGCTCTGCTATAAACTCCCATTTTCTGTTTGCTCACAACTTTTTCAGCCTGGAAGATGCTGCTGTTGTGCTCCTAATCCTTCCACTTGGGTTTCTCAGATGTAAAAATATCTGGCCCCACACTGGATGTCAGAATTCCCCAGCTGGACAGACCATATCTTTTAAGGAAAAAATGTGTCTCATGTAGCTATTGGGCAATCTGATATCAGGCAGGCCAGGAGAAAAAAGGACACATCCTTTTTCCAACTCAGACTCCAGACAGTATTCTGAGTTCAGAGGGGATGCTGGTGCTGGGACAGCAGGTCCCAGCAAGAGTGGGGCTTGGGGATGCTCCCTCTGAAAGCAAAGGGCTCTGGGGGATGTGCTCCAGCTCCTCTGGAAACTGCACTTGCAGCTTGTGGCACGGAAAGTTGGTTGTTGAAGATGGTTTCTAGCTCTCCTGCAGCAGAGACTGTGGGACAGTCTGTGTTTAGTTCCTGTTTCTGCAGCCCATCCCACCCAGCCTTGCTTCCCCATCTCAGGGCAAGGAGAAGTCTGTCCTTCAGGGCCACTTTGGCTGGTTTGCTGCCAGTGTCAGCCCTAGCACATCTCACCATGTGCTCTGCCTGGGTCGTGCACAGCACCTGCAGCCACAAAAGACCAAACACTTTCTTCCTTCTGCTCTGGTCTCCCCACAGTTGCTGGTTTTGTGCTGCTCCCCAGGCATGAAGTTTGCAAACTCAAGGGCAGACCACAGCAGTTCTGCTTCCTCCTTGCCTGCGTCACTTCTTTGAGCAGTTGTTGAAGCAAAAAAGCTGCTGCAGCTGCTGTGGAAAAGTTGCTTCAGGCACATGGTACCCAAGCTTGTGCTGATCTTGGTGGCAGATACAAACCTGCTTCCTGTGGGGTTCAGTGGCTCTCAGAGGCCCAGATAACATGACTTTGTCAGTCCTCTCTTCGCCACAACCACTTTTTATGTTGATGGTGCTTTTGTTGATGGCTCCTGGCCCTGGAGAAGAGTCTGCAGGATGGGAGCTCCCAGTGCTGGACCTCATGTTGCTGGGGTGAGGATGGGAAGTCGTGTTGGCCCAGGTTTCTCCATTGTTTGCAGGCTTCAGAGTCTCCTCTCCTGCAGACTCAGTTCCCACATCTCCAAGGATGCACAGGGCAAGGTGATCCCTGCGTGTCTCCTGGTCTGACTCCTGCTCTCCTGCTGTGGCCCCTTGTTGTGGCAAGAGGTTCTCCTGGAGAGGGGTGAAGGTCAGGCAGAGAAGAAGAGGGAGCCAGTTTTCACACCCTGCACTGCTGTGGGGAGCTGTAGGGGCAGGACTGGCCCCCCAGGCTGTGCCACAGCTTGGGGCAGCCTCAAGCTGCAGCAGAAATAAACAGCGTGTCAACCACGAGGGAGGACAGCAGAGAGATGAGGGTGAGGAAGAAATGGATGAACAAGGTGGGATGCATGATGGAGTCAGAAATGTGCCACCTCACTCTACAGGGCCAAAGCTGTCAGTATCATAGAATGCTAGGGGTTGGAAGGGACCTTTGAAGATCATTGTGTCCAACCCCTGCTGCAGCAGGAACACCAAGAGCAGGTCACACAGGAACACATCCAGATGGGTCTTGAAAGTCTCCAGAGGAGGAGACTCATTACCAGGGAGGTGATGAAGAAGCAAAAAATAGCATCAGAGTTCTCCTTTACCCCAAGAGCTTTGAGTTGCTCGGACAACACTGTGGACAGTGACTTATTCTCCTTTGTGGCCTTGGACTTCTTGTTCTCAAATCCACTCCTCTGGTCCCTTTGGCACACGCTGCCTGTGATGCACACATTGGCAGGGTGGCATTGTCCCCAGGAGGGATGTGGTGGGAGGTGTGGCCTTGTGGACACTTGTTTCCTCATTTTACTTGCATAACTTGCATTTTACTACCCTGGACCTGCTGTCTGAGGTGCTCCATGGAGAGGTCCCCAGCCCTATGGAGGTTGTTTGCAGCCCCTGAGTGCCCAGTGCCCCCCTTGCCACAGGAGCTCTCCCTAACCTGGGGGTTAGGAAGTGGTTTTTCACTGCAGATCATCACTCTTTGGGGAAAGATGTTCAATGCTAGGACTGAAACCACAGCTCCAGACCTCACTCCATCTCACAGCTTGCTAAACTGGGGATGGGATGAACCCTGGATTCTGGGTCTTGATAGTCCAGCTCAGAAACTTGGAGAAAATCATTTTGATTCCATGCAAAGTAAAGCACATTTGGAGATTCTTCTCAAATCCAAGAAAAGAGGGAAAACTCTATTTTTGCCAATGAAGTAGCAGAGCCAAACTTACTGAGAGATATTTCTTCTTCTTTTAGTTTCTTTAGTTTTAGTTTCTTTCTACACTATTGTTACATTTAGCTCAACTCTCAAGCAAAATGTAATTTCCAAATGTAAAACCAGGACTTTCTGAACAAAAAAAAAATAAAATGTTGAAACAAAACTCATTAACTTTGTATTTCCTCCATCCTCCCCCAGGAGCTGGCAGAAGAATCCAGTTAAACCCAAACCATTAATAAACTGGTAACGATTGCCTCAACGTTCCCTTGTCAAGGATTTCAAAACCTTCATGTCTGTCTCTCCTGGAGATCCATCCTGCATTTAGGACTCTGGCCACTGTGTGTTCCCTGGAAATCAGTTTGTTGACAGGAAGCTGGCCCAGAGCCCACTGAATTGTGGCTTTTGTTCTCCTAGGTTATGAGTGTTTTGCTGCTGATCGAGTACTCCCTGGAGGTGACGAGTGGGAAAGGCTTTTGCAAAGCTCTGCACAAGGATTACTACAGGATTGGTAGGTCCCCAGGTTGCTGGAAAACTGCAGAGGTTTGTGGGGCTTTGGGAGGGAGCCCCAGGTCCTCCACTGCTCCCTCTTTCATTGAAGAAAATTGCAAACTGGGACTCAGAGCAGATGGGCCAACATTTCAGACCCACGGACAAAATTTAAGCTCTAAAATGATGGATTTTGGCTGGTTTGGCTTTTGGGAGACCAGTGTGGAGCCAAGTGAAGTTCTCTTTGTCTCAGTGGATCAGGTCCTCAGCCAAACTCCCCAGGACCCTCATGCTCCTCCAGCCTCCCCACTTCCTCTGCAACACCCTTGGCATTAATGCTGGTTTCTCCTCTTCCTTTTCACCCCCTGCAGACACTTCAGCCTCACACACATGTTGGCTCCCTTCACATTTTCCAGGAAGACACAAAAGTGGCTGACCAGCTCCCCTGTGGTCCTGGCCAGTGACCTTGAGGTCCCAAAGAAGGAAGAAATTCCAGCCCCACACTGCATCCCATGGGTGCCTGGGCTACCTGACATCACCCCCAAACCCAGCCCTCTACACCAAGGAGCCATGTTCTTCTACCATCCATCACGATTCTCCCATGTAACCAGTGAGAGGATGAGAGGAAATGGTCTCAAGTAGCTCCAGGGGAGGTTCAGAATGGGCATTAGGAGCAATTTCTTTGCTGAAAGAGTGGTCAGGCACTGGAACAGCCTGACCAGGACCCTGGTGGTGTCACCATCCCTGGAGATGTTAAAAAAATGTGTGGATGTGGCACTCTGGGACACGGTTTAGTTGGTGTGGTGGGGTTGGGTTGATGGTTGGACTTGATGATCTTAGAGGTCTTTCTCAACCTTAATGAGTCTCTGGTTCTATGTCATTCTGAGCTCTCCAGCCTCACAGCTGAAGGCACTCCAGACTGCCACACCAGCTCACCTCCCTCTCCCCCCTATCCCACTGGCATTTGTCCACAGATATTCCCAGTCCTTGGTGTTTTCTGCAGAATATTTGTTGCCTGCAAGAAGCATCCAGGCTGTTTTGTGTCCCATGGTCACAAGTATCACATTCACCAGACTTGATTGAATTCCCATGGCTTGAACTAGGAAGGATCAATCTTGGCTTTCAAAAACCCAGCAGATTTCTCATGGGGGGTGACACTAAAAAGAGAATAACTCCCCACCTCCCAGATATTACTTCACCAGGCTCATTTTGCAGGCAGCTGTTAGGCAACGATAAACACAGGGTGCTTTTTTTCCTTTTTTTAGTCACTTCTCAGTGTAAAACCAGAAGCTGAGATAACCCTTCTCTGCTGGGTGCAGAAAGACTGAAGCCAGACCCCCACCCCTGGCACTGCCTCTCCCTGCAGAGAGAAAAGTCTCTCTCTCTGCAGAGAAGAATGCAAACTCCAGAAGCAAGGACTTGCCTGGTCTCTGATCTTCCAGACTGTCCTTCCTCAAGCTGCAAGGATGCACAGAGGGGCCTTCTGTAAGAGGAAGAAAAAGAAATCAAGTACAGCAGGTTCCTGTACATCCCCAACTCACTTGTCCCCAGGGTAGGAGCCAGACAGGGTGGAAAGCACCACCAAAAAAAAGGCATTGTCACTGTCTGGGTGAAGTTAATGCTAACAGATGGGTTCACATTTTTCAAAAGAGCCCAGCTGGGTTTTAGGAGGCACCACTGGGATCCACCAAAGCTGTTTTGAAAGGCATCAACAGTGAGAGGAAAATGGAAATTTGGGGAAGACCTAAGGTGAGTCCTGCCAACAGGGGGCTGCTGGTTCAGGTCTTCATGCAGGGTGTTACTGCCCAGCCTGGGTGGGCTGGAAGCTACTTTGCTTGGCTGTGGTTCCCTCAGGCCCCTCTGCAGCAGAGGCTCAGCTCAGAACCCAAGGTAGAATTGCATGATGACTTTTCTGCTGAGCTTCCCCATTAGGGCCAGATGCAGCAGCCCAAGCAGGATCCAAGACCTGGTGGTTTTCCAGGTGTCTGGGATCAGCACAACAAAGGCAGGAGAACCTGGTTATCCATGTCTGTGACCCTCATAAAATCCCAGAATGGTTTGGGTTGGAAAGGACCTTAAAGATCATCTAGATCCAACCCCCTGCATGGGCAGGGACACCTCCCACCAGCCCAGGCTGCTCCAAGCCCCATCCAACCTGCCCTTCAACACTCAAAGAAGGAAGAAATTCCAGCCCCACACTGCATCCCATGGGTGCCTGGGCTACCTGACATCACCCCCAAACCCAGCCCTCTACACCAAGGAGCCATGTTCTTCTACCATCCATCACGATTCTCCCATGTAACCAGTGAGAGGATGAGAGGAAATGGTCTCAAGTAGCTCCAGGGGAGGTTCAGAATGGGCATTAGGAGCAATTTCTTTGCTGAAAGAGTGGTCAGGCACTGGAACAGCCTGACCAGGACCCTGGTGGTGTCACCATCCCTGGAGATGTTAAAAAAATGTGTGGATGTGGCACTCTGGGACACGGTTTAGTTGGTGTGGTGGGGTTGGGTTGATGGTTGGACTTGATGATCTTAGAGGTCTTTCTCAACCTTAATGAGTCTCTGGTTCTATGTCATTCTGAGCTCTCCAGCCTCACAGCTGAAGGCACTCCAGACTGCCACACCAGCTCACCTCCCTCTCCCCCCTATCCCACTGGCATTTGTCCACAGATATTCCCAGTCCTTGGTGTTTTCTGCAGAATATTTGTTGCCTGCAAGAAGCATCCAGGCTGTTTTGTGTCCCATGGTCACAAGTATCACATTCACCAGACTTGATTGAATTCCCATGGCTTGAACTAGGAAGGATCAATCTTGGCTTTCAAAAACCCAGCAGATTTCTCATGGGGGGTGACACTAAAAAGAGAATAACTCCCCACCTCCCAGATATTACTTCACCAGGCTCATTTTGCAGGCAGCTGTTAGGCAACGATAAACACAGGGTGCTTTTTTTCCTTTTTTTAGTCACTTCTCAGTGTAAAACCAGAAGCTGAGATAACCCTTCTCTGCTGGGTGCAGAAAGACTGAAGCCAGACCCCCACCCCTGGCACTGCCTCTCCCTGCAGAGAGAAAAGTCTCTCTCTCTGCAGAGAAGAATGCAAACTCCAGAAGCAAGGACTTGCCTGGTCTCTGATCTTCCAGACTGTCCTTCCTCAAGCTGCAAGGATGCACAGAGGGGCCTTCTGTAAGAGGAAGAAAAAGAAATCAAGTACAGCAGGTTCCTGTACATCCCCAACTCACTTGTCCCCAGGGTAGGAGCCAGACAGGGTGGAAAGCACCACCAAAAAAAAGGCATTGTCACTGTCTGGGTGAAGTTATTGCTAACAGATGGGTTCACATTTTTCAAAAGAGCCCAGCTGGGTTTTAGGAGGCACCACTGGGATCCACCAAAGCTGTTTTGAAAGGCATCAACAGTGAGAGGAAAATGGAAATTTGGGGAAGACCTAAGGTGAGTCCTGCCAACAGGGGGCTGCTGGTTCAGGTCTTCATGCAGGGTGTTACTGCCCAGCCTGGGTGGGCTGGAAGCTACTTTGCTTGGCTGTGGTTCCCTCAGGCCCCTCTGCAGCAGAGGCTCAGCTCAGCACCCAAGGTAGAATTGCATGATGACTTTTCTGCTGAGCTTCCCCATTAGGGCCAGATGCAGCAGCCCAAGCAGGATCCAAGACCTGGTGGTTTTCCAGGTGTCTGGGATCAGCACAACAAAGGCAGGAGAACCTGGTTATCCATGTCTGTGACCCTCATAAAATCCCAGAATGGTTTGGGTTGGAAAGGACCTTAAAGATCATCTAGATCCAACCCCCTGCATGGGCAGGGACACCTCCCACCAGCCCAGGCTGCTCCAAGCCCCATCCAACCTGCCCTTCAACACTGCCAGGGATGGGGCAGCCACAGCTTCCCTGGGCAACCTGGGCCAGGCTCTCACCACCCTCACAACCAACAATTTCCCCCTAATCCCCAACTAATACAGTGCTCTGAACTACTGAAAGCTGAACACAGCATTTGCAGGTCAGGATACTTTCCCAGAGGTACAGTTATGTAAAAATGACAATTGTTTTTCATTACTTTTTGCAGAAAGATCATCCGAGGTCAATGATTTTTACTTTTTTTTTCTCCAATATCTAAATCTAAAGGAAAAGCCAGAAATCAGCAAGACAGATTTTTTCAGTTGATTTCCATACAAAGCCATGATTTGCTTTCTAAGCAAGACGTGCATTTCTGCAGATCTGGAGGGTTTTCTTCAAGAACAGAACTGTTCTGAGGGAAATTGGCCCCCTTTTTACCACACCACCACCCCCCTCTCTTCTCACACAAAGTGACAGGCCTTCTCCTCCCCCTCTTCCACTGCCTCCTACACAAAAAAGGAACATTTTATAATGAAATCCCCAACACTTCCACTTGGCTTCTCTTCCCAAGCATTTCAAAGGGCTCTGCTTGGGAGACTGTGAGTGTTTTCTGATTATAGTTAGAATAAACACAGCTCAACCCTTCTATTTCCAGAAACCAGCAGGGAGGCAAGACAGAAAAGCAGTACAAAAAGTTCAATTTGTCTTCCAAAACCCAGATGGAAGATTTGGAGAACAATTTGAGGAGAGGTTCTGCTGATGCCCTCAGCATCTGCTGCTCTATTTGTAGATCCTGCCAGAATAAAACCCATCTCAGAATATATCAGGCTAATGTTGCCTTCATGGCCCAAGAATATAAACAAGGCAAGGTTTGTGGGGAAGTGCTTTTCACATGAGACAGTAGGAAAAAAATGGTCTTGATAAGGAATCAGCTCCCACAGGATCTTTTGCTGCTTTAAAAAGAGGGGCTGAGATGGGCCTCAGTTTCCACAGGTATGGTCAGGGAGGGGAAGGAGAATTGGGATTGTTGTAGTTTTTTTGTGGTTGTCAGGGTGATGGGAAGGGTGATTAGATATAGAAGAGGAGCTCTGCCCTGTGCAGGTGCCTGCTCCTGGTTTCCCTGCTTTACAAGAGGCCACAGGCAGGAGAGGAGGAAGAATGTTCCTCTGAAATTGGTTGTTCAA